TTTAGGAAGGGCTCCCAAGAAGTTTTCGAAAGTCTTAAACCAGTGCTTCCATTCCTGAGCAGCCGTTGATAAGCTGGGGTCACAGTCTAGCCTCTCAGGTTTCAGTAAACGCTCCATGTTGTGATGTAATCTAGCGCAGGATCACCACCAGGTAGCCCAGGATTCTATGTTCAATAAATTGTTGTGATAGAAACACAGGCCTTATCTCTAGGCTTTATTGAACATAGAATCTTCATAGTACTTCTGCAACAACAAAATATAATGACTAGTACATCTAATAATGGCTTCTACAGGGATGGTGATGTCTTGCATATGTCAAGAGAAAAGTTATAACTACAGGCCACATATTTAAACTCACCATGTAATCTGCATCACTGATAAATGGATATAGTAGGAGAGAATCACACACCATGTGTTGGCGCCCATGACATACACCAAACTGTTGTTGTTGTTAAGGGCCCCAAGAGGTGGTGCAGTATTATCCTGCTGCTGCTCCCCACAGGACCAGTATCACTACACAAACAATATTAATAACATGGAAACTTGATATATACTCTAGAATGAATAGAATATGTGGTGTGACAAGTGGAGGCGGCAACAACTGCTCCAGCATTGTTGTGGTAATCACTGCCATCTAATGACAGACTTTTGAAGCCATCTATTATTATAATTATTCTTATATAGTTCATTATTATTATATATGTATTATTATACATATTATTATTATTATTATTATTATTATTATTATTATTATTATTATTACACTATTATTGTTATACAGTAGACCATCATTTAGCACAAGTTTATTTGGCATAATTCGGGTATAGCACGATTGAAGAATTGCGGCACAATTTTATGTAACACTTCTCAAAATCAATTTAACACAGTTCAGTTTGTGGAAGGAAAAAAAAACTCCCTTTTCCTCAAACGGCCGCCTTGTTGTGGATCAGCGGGGAAGACCTCCCACCATCCCTTGCCAGCCTCCAGCACCACACCACCATGACTCAGCGTTTGTACTTCATACATGTCCAGTCCTTCCTCTCTGCTACAAGCTAGCTGTGTTTGTGAATTGTTTTGATGTTTTAATTGCTATATCTTGTATCTGCCAGGCAATCATGACACCCAGTAGGCATACCAGTGTTGCTCAAAGTGGTAAGAAAAGGCATAAGCATTTAAGTCTTAGAATTAACAAAGAAAACAAGATACGGTGGAACCCTGAGTATTGAATTGCTCCCAACTCGACCAATTATGTAAGTGTATTATTGTAAGTGCTTTTGTAAGTGTATATTTGGGGGTCTGAAACGGACTAATCTAATTTACATTATTCCTTACGAGAATAAATTTGTGTGGTAACGGCACTGGAACAGCCTTTTAGAACGAAGAAAGTTCGAAACCCGGGGTTCCACCGTATTAGACAAGACATAACCTGTGGCCTTAATGAAGTATTACTTTGTATGTGTAAAAAGAGGTAAACATAAGTTTGTGTGACTGACTTACTGAATGACTGACTTACTGACTTAACTGACTGAATGACATGACATATTGACTTGACTTACTGAATGACTTGACTGACTTACTGAATGGCTTGACTGACTGAATGACTTGACTGACTGAAAGACTTGACTGACTTACTGAATGACTGACTGACTGACTTGACTTACTGACTTGACTGACTTACTGAATGACTTGACTGAATAACTTAATAATTTGACTGACTGAATGACTTGACTGGCTTACTAGGGATAGGATAGGCCTACACAGGACAATAAAAATGAGGTCAACTAGAAACTACAGTAAAGAAACACTGGTAAATAGGCTACACAGTTGTGACTGGACAGAGATAACAAGTGGCATAGACGTAAATGATGTCTGGGAAAAATCCAAAACAATGTTCACTGCCATCCTTGATAACATTGGGGTGTTACCTAGCACCATGACTTGTTGTAGTGTTTTAAAATCTCAGGTTAAAGTGTTGAAGAAGGAGATTCTACTTCTTCAGGAGGAAAATAGGAGGCTGAAGCTTCATTTAGATGGGTTTGGGAGTGTGAGATGGTAGCTGGTGAGGAGGAAAAGTTACCAGCGGTGATTTGGAGAGTGGCAGCCACTTTAAGTGGCAAGTGGTAAACAATTCAGAAAGAAGGATGATAAGGAAGGTTAATAGAGAAGATGTGAAGGTAGGAAATCGATTATCTTTTCTCCAGGACAAGTGTATTTAAGTGGTTAGTGAGGTTAAAGGTACCACTGTCTCCACTGCTTATCAAGGTAAGAATATTCTGATCATTGTAGATTCTTAGGTAAGATAAATGGACCATGCTTTTTGTAACAGAGACAGAAAGGTCAGATAGAGGGTGTGTTTCCCAGGAGCTGGTGCTGGTGACATAGTCAGCAGGTTGGATAATATTATGTCAGGCAATGGGAACAAGCCCATTATCAGTCTTAGTGCTGGTTGGATAATATTACGTCAGGCAATGGAAACAAGCCCATTATCTGTCTTAGTGCTGGTGGAAATGACATTTGGAATGGCAGGAGACAGGAGCTGCTGGATAAGTATAGGTCAGCCATAGATGTACTCAGGTCTAAGGGAGGGATCCCAATCATATGTAGCATCTTGCCTAGAAAGGGAGTGGGCAACGAATAAATGTCTAGGGCAATTGGTGTAAATTGCTGGCTAGACAGGTGCTGCAAGTAACTTGCAAGCCCATTCATTGATAACTTGGACAAATTCTATGGCAAGCATGATATGTATGCAAGGGATGGAGTTCATCTCTCTGGGGCTGGAGTGGTTGCATTAGCCAATTCGTTTGAAGGGGTCATTAACCCCTAAACGGCCCAAACATAGATGTACGTTCTCTCGCGTAGCACCCCAAACGTATATATACATTTTCTTTGTCATTCATTCAACATTGCCACGATAAGCCTGAGTCACCTAGACATGAGAGAATGGATAACAAAAAGGCACAATACCGTGACTGGAACGATACACAAATAACCCGCACATAAAAGACAGAAGCTTACGACGACGTTTCGGTCCGACTTTGTCAATGGTCCAAGTCGGACCGAAACGTCGTCGTAAGCTTCTGTCTTTTATGTGCGGGTTATTTGTGTATGAGAGAATGGGTGTGCACACTCACTGTGTGCCATATTAAAATAATTGGGGACGCCTGGATACCATATACTCTTTTTTTCTATTAAAAAAACAATTTTTTTCTCAAAAAATTGGGGGCGCTACGTGAGTGAACGTATATATACATTTGGACTGTTTAAGGGTTAATGACTTGTCTAGGACTTTAAACTGATAGATTATAGAGGTATGGGTGTCTGTGGGAAACAATCAGGCTGCAGAACTAGGGTTGAAAAGAGCAGATATAACCAGGATGCCTCAGGGATATGTTTAAAAGACAATATTCAAAATAAAGTTGCTAGTAAAGGCAAAGCAATTGATCAACGAACAAAGAGAGATAGTAGAGGGCAACTAGTGACTAGGTCCCTTAAGGTTTACTATACAAATAGTAGGAGTCAAAGAAATAAGATACATGAGCTAAGATTACTTGCAAGTGTAGGTAATATAGATATTATTGCTATAACAGAGACCTGGTTCAACTTTAAGATAGAAAAATGCCCTCTGAATGCAACATACAGATTATAAACTATTCCTACTGATAAGGTCAACAGGAAGGTTATGGAGTGGTGATGTTTTCAGGAGATAATTTTAAATTGTTAGTTGTTAGACAAAATATAAGATGAAAACATTGGACACAGAATCTATTTTGCTACAGGTTTCTCGAGGGTCATGAAAAGTTAATTGATAAGAGTGCCAGTAAGCTGGCTATGGATGAATTCATTAAGGCATCAGATATGAAATGTTGTGCTAAATGGGATGGTTTTAAACTTTAGAGAAATTCATTGGAACAATGTGACAGGAAATCTTGAGTATAGAGTGACTTTCTTATACGGTTCAGGATTGCTTTTAAAAACAGTTGTGGCAGAACCAACTAGAGGAAACAATCTACTTGGTTTCTTTGCCAACAAAGAATCACTAGTTAATAATCTTGAGGTTAATGATGAGCTAGGGGGGAAGTGATGACACAATTACTTAGTTTCACAATATATCATGGAGTTACCCCGGAATAACTGCAACCAAATTCTCTGTCCCAGACTTTCACTCATTTTGGCCAATTTCATGGGACTAAAAAATACCACTGGGTGGGCTAAATTGGTATTATGATTATGGGTCAGGTAATGGTCTGGTTTGCGATAATTGACGTTTTTTCAGAGGCATAGTTCTAGCTGCCCCGAACAACTTTTGTTCAGAGTAGGGAAATAGATCTAGAAACAAAAATGATTCCCAAATGATAGATCACTAGATTAAAGAACATCTCAGTGGTCGAAAAGAGAGGCATATATGAAGGAATATAAAATAAGGGAGGGGCAAGAGATTAGGAAATCAATATATTCAATAAAGAGAAATAAAAAAAAAAGGGAATAAGTAAAGCAAAAAGGGATTAAGTAGCTAAGGTCACAAGTAATTCAAAGACTAAACGCCAAAGGGTTTCTTTTCAGGTATACAGAAGTAAGATTAAGGTAACTCCGGTCAGAACACTGACAGTGATATGTACAGGATAGTGTGTTAAATTTTTCAATTCTTACTTCCTCTCAGTTTTTTTACTCAGGAAGATAACTAGCGAAATTCCAGAAATAATAGATTAATGTAGAACAGGACAATAATAAACTATGCATGATTGCAGTAACAAGTGAAATTGTTCTCAAACAAATTATTTTTTTTTATTATCACACTGGTCGATGTGCCCACCCAAGCCAGGTGGCCGCAAAAAAGAAAAACTTTCACCATCCTTCCACTCCATCACTGTCTTGCAATAAGGTTGCTTTACACTACAGTTTTTATAAACAGCAAACATTAACACCCCTCCTTCATAGTGGCAGGTGCTGGGCAGGTGAATTATTACTAATAAATCCCCAGCCCAGTGAACTGTTCTTGCAAGGTGTTTTAAAGGAATGGTAAAGTGAAATCTTAGCAGACCTTTGTTAATCTTTTTAACATATTACTACAAACTGGCGTAGTGCCTGACAGTGGAAAATGGCAAATGTAATACCTATTTACAAGGCAGGTGACAGGTCCCTTAGGTTTGAACCATAGACCCAATAAGCCTTACTTCCATAATGGGAAAATTTATGGATTCAATAATTGCCGAAGGCAGTTTCGTAAGGCATATCTCGAAAGGAAAATTGATTAATGATCTCAGCACGGTTTTAAGAAAAGGGCGTCTTCCTGTCTTTATTGAATTTCTTTCTTCATAATGGTATTTGAAGGAGGTAATTCATGGTATTGAATATGATATTTGTGTAATATGGACTTCAGTAAGGCTTTGTAAAGAGTTCCACATCCAGAGGTTAATGAGCAAACTCAAGGCACATGGAATAGGAGAAATTTTTCCTGGTTGAGGCATGGCTGATGAATAGGCAGGAGAAGAGTTTGCCATAAAATGGGAGAAATCAGAATGGGGTCACATCACAAGTGGTGTTTCCGACAGGGATCAGTGTTGGGCCCCCTTGTTGTTCTCATTCTACATAAAAACTAGATCAAGGGAATAAATAGCGACATAACAAATTTTGCTGATGACACCAAAATATGCTGTCCCGATTCATTCTAATGAGGATATTAAAGCACCCAGGATGATTTGAATAGACACATGCAGTGGCCAGAGAAGTGACAGATGCAGTTTATTAATAGACAAATGCCAAAGTTTTAAAACTGTTGTACAGGAAAATAGCCATGCCACATATAAACTAAATAATTGCAGATCATAATATTAATATTACAGATGTGAAAAGGATTTAGGAGTTCTGGTTAGTAGAATCTAAAACCAAAGGCAAAGTGCATTAGTGTTGCAATAAAGGTAACAGAATTCATTGGCCTTCAAATAGCAAGAAGTATAAATATTAGAAGTCCTCAGGTTGTTCTTCAACCTGTGTATCTTTAGGGTTAGTGCCTCATTTAGACTAATGCGTTCACAGTTTTGGTCACCGTATTTATTGAATGGATATAAATGCACTGGAAAATGTATAAAAAGGTGAATGTACAAAGTAGGTCCCATGTATCCAGGCATCTTCCCAATAAGAGGATAGACTTGAAGCCCTGAATCTGCACTTCTGCCTAAAAAGGTGTAAATTAGGGGGGGATATGATTGAGTCCCATGGGAAGTGGAAAAAGAATCTTTTCCTTCTACCGTAAGCCATGCGTGTCGTATGAGGCGACTAAAATGCCGGAGCAATGGGCTAGTAACCCCTTCTCCTGTAGACCATTTACTAAAAAAGAGAAAAAAGAAAAACTTTATAAAAACTTGGGATGCTTGAATGTGCCATGGATGTAGTGCAGATGACAAGAAACAGATGATTGCTGATGTTATGAATGAAAAGAAGTGGATGTCCTTGCCCTAAGCGAAAAACGAAGCTGAAGGTGTAGGGGAGTTTCGTGGGGAGAAATAAATTGGATTAATCTGGAGTATCTGAGAGAGTTAGAGCAAAGGACTGTTGTCCAGAGGGCTGAGGAAGGGTTTGTTGATGTGGTTTGGACATGTAGAGTGAATGGAGTGAAACAGAATGACTTCAAGAGTTATCATCTGTAGTGGGAAGGAAGGCGGGGTAGGGGTCGGCAAGGAAAGGTGGAGGGAGGGAGAAAGAGGTTTTGTGTGCGAGGGGCTTGAACTTCCAGCATGGGGGGCGGGGCTGCGTGAGCATGTTTGAGAGGATGAATGGAGCGAATGGCAAGACAGTGATGGAGTGAATGATGGTGAAGAGTTTTTTCGGGGGCGGGGGGCCTCCCTGCCTTGGTGGGAATCGGCCAGTGTGAATAATAAAAATAAAAAAGATTGAGGTGTATATGTGGGAAACAGAAATTAATAAAGGGGAGTAAATAGTGTGTTAAAAAATACTAGCAAAAACAGGACTCACAGCAATTGCCTTAAATTGGAAAGTTCATGATTCAAGAAGATATAGGAAAGGCACTGGTTTGTAATGAAGTAGTGGTTTAGTGAACAATCTCCGAGTACTGTCATATACGCTAAGATATGTGTAGTTTTAAAATAGGTTGGATAAATACCTTTTGTTCGCATCGCTATTTGGTCTCGTGCGGACGTGCTGTGCAGTAGCTCCTGATCTGAGTTGGCTTTGTGCAGTGTTGACGTGTACTTAGCTCTGGTAAGAACCTGTTTGTGCGCTCTCTAAATTGAAGGAAGATGCCCTCCATCGAGCAACTTTACCAACAGCTTAAGGAAAATTAAGGATGGCGAATAGGGAAATTCGGCGACTGACCGAGAAAACAAAAAATTCATAGTAGTCCACCGTTTTGAGCCCTCAGGTCAAAGGGGAAACTGGTCAGTGGCGGGACAGCGGGGGAAAAAGGGTTGAGTTTACCGGAGTTTACTGGGAGAGTTTCGGGGTAAACCCCCCCCGGGGCCCACTGTGACCACCTCCTGGGGATAGGCCTATAAACCGGCTGTTGCTGCGGCTGCACGAAAACCAACGTACGAGCCACAGCCCGGCTGATCGGGAAATGATTTAGGTGCTTGTCCAGTCCAGTTGAAGACTGCCAGGGTCTGTTGGTAATCCCCCTTTTTTGGTGGGAGGCAGTTGAACAGCCGGGGCCCCTGCACTTATTGTATGGCCCTTTTAACGTGCTAGTGCCCCCCGCTTTTCATTGGGGGGATGGTCTTCGTCTCCCAAGTTTTTGCTTTCGTGTGGTGATTTTGTGTGCAATTTGGGTACTATCCCTCTAGGATTTTCCATGTATAATCATGTATCCTCCCTCCGGGTTCCAGGGAATACGGGTTTTTAGAATCCCAAGCGCTCCAGAATTGGGGGTTTTTTATCTCCTTTTATGTCGCCGTGAAAGTTCTCTGTACATTTTTGGGTCAGCAATTTCCCTCCCTTGAAAGGTGCGTAGAGTGCAGAATATTCCGCCTAGATAGAACAAGTGACCGAAGGGGTTCATCATGGGTTTGGCCCCCCTTTTTTTGAAGGTTCTCATTATCCATCCTGTCATTTTTCAGCAGATGCGATTGATCAATGTTATGGTCCTTGGGGTGAGACCCCGACAAAATCACCCCCGGGTTGCGTTGGGTTTCGCTCTATTTCGTGCCAAATTTGTTTTGTACTCTGATGAAGTTTTAATTTCCTCATTTTTTACCATATCTGAGTAATGAAATTTCTCAAGAAACAATGGAAAAGGAGAAACGATGAAAAAGAAAGAGACGCCGTGGGGAAAAAATGTGGAAACATCAATACAAATTTTCAGTGCTACCCCACGAATGTGATTGATACTGGGAAAAAGCACACAACAACACCAAGGAAGGACAATATTGTTTTTTTTGGGGATAGCCAAGTTAGGTACAGGGACCCCCGCATAGCGACTTAATCCGTGCAAGAGGGCTCATTGTTATCAAAATGATTGTATGCGAAAGAATTTCCCCCTAAGAAATAATGGAAATCAAATTTTCCATGGAAGACACCCAAAAATATGAAAAAAAAAAATTTTTCCACATGAAATATATATTTTCCTACACACAAAAGAAGGGGAAAAGCACAATAGAAGTAGTAAAATGCACAATATATATTGTGCATTACTACTCTACAAATGAAGAATAAATACCTTACCTTTTTTTGAAAATGCAGCAAAGACTTATAACACTGGCCTGGGGGTGCCTTTCCCCTGATACTGTAGGTCCTGTTTGGCATTTTCTTCCAAACAGGCCTTTTTCACACTGTGATCCATACAATTCTTAAATCTCTCAAACCAACCTTTGCTGGACATTTAAAAGGTATAAAATACGACAGATTTTTAGTAAGCACATATGCAACAGTTTG